TTTTCGTGTGTAACACTGAGTTGAGTACTCTTTAGGCTGGTCTTCTCTTGAGTCGTATCTAGGACTTTGCGTTGTCTGAGAATGTCTTATTTTCTCCTTCATATATGAACGTAGTTTGCAGGAAAAAGATTCTAGGGTGGGCATTGTTTTTCAGAAGAGTGAGAATGGGGCCCCAGCCTCTCCTTGCTTGTAAAGTCTCATTAGAGAAATCTGGTGTTATTCGAATTGGCTTTCCCTTGTAGTCACTTGCTTCTTTTGTCTACAGCTCTTAAGGCCTTTAGTGTGAATTCTGCTCAGTTGATGACTGCATTCATGACGTCTTCCTTTTGCATTGAATCTCCCAGGGGCCTCTGAGCTTCTTTGAACTTGTATATCGAGATTTTGATCAAGGCCTGGGAAATTTTCCTCTATTATGTCTTCAAATAGCTTGTCCAACCCTTGGGTGTTGTCCTCTTCCCCTTCTGGTAACCCTATGACCCTCACATTAGGTTTCTTCACATAATCCCACATCTCTTGTAGGCTTTGCTTTTCTCTTGTTTTCTGCTGCCTATCTCTGTGTGGTTTATTTAGTTGGAGGGTGTTATCTTCAATCTCTGAGATTCTTTCTTCTGTTTGATCTACCCTGTTCTTGAGAGTTTCCACTGTATTTTGTAGTTCCTTGAATTGATTCTTCATTTCCAGGAGTTCGGTTAAAATTTTCTTCATTGTGTCCATTTCTTTTTCCAGATCCTGGAGGCTTTTTGTGATTTCTTTGTGTTGGTTATTGAGTTGTTGTTGCAGCTCGGTGAGTGTTCTTATGATCCACATACGAAATTCCTCTTCTGTCATTTTGGTGGCCTGATTTGGGTTGGTGTCCGTTTCTAGGGGCTGTGCTCCTCTTTGGGGGTGTTTTCCGTTTGGTTCTTCATATTCCTGAGTTCTTTCGCTGATTTCTCCCCAGTCGATCAGTTGTTGTTCTTTTCTTTTAGGTTATTGTTTTGTTCACACACCTTGTGTTAGTTTCTGAGCCGTTAGGTGGTGTCTGTAGGTGAGATGGACCACTCCCTGTATATTGAGTCAGTGGGTCCGTGGAAAGGCTGTGCAAGATGCCGTCCTGTCAGGTAGGTGGTGTTTGCTAGAGGAACAGGCTATGCTGTTGATTTGTGTCTGTTATCATCTTGTTCTGGGCGAGCTGGGTTGGGGTAGCCTGCCTCAGGCAGTTAGCAGGGGTCAAAGTTCTGGTCTCTGCTTCCAGAAAAGCTGTCAGGGCGGGTGGAATGGTCGTCAGCCAGAAAGTCTGCTTTGGGGTGGGGTGTCTGAGACCTGCAGTCTGGAGCGGGTCGCTTCTTTCCACCTCCAACTCCGCAGCTACTCCTGGCCTCTGCAGCAGGCCAGACCACACGCCACCAGGCCTCCCTGGATTGTGATGCCAGCGGGAAGGTTCCCTGCGCAGAAACGCTGCCTGGGCTTGGCGCACAGCCTCCCTTTGGTGGGAGGGTTGCCCTCTAGGATGCTGATCTGCCCCTAGAGGCACACACACCTCAGCGGGCTGTTCTCAAATATCCCTTCTGTACCCCGGGGAATGCTAGACCTCGGTGCACGGGATCTGGTCTGCAGGTCCGACCTCTGGGTCCCAGAGTTCAAACTGTATCCCCACCAGGAGAGAGTCTCTGGTCCATTCACCACAGGACCAAGCTGTGTCTGTGTCTCTTCAGCCTCTGAGTCGGCACCGTTCTCCTGGGAACACCGTGCCAGCAGCACCTGGGAGGTTTGGGTTAGGCTCCACAGTCTGAGTTCCCTTAGTCAGCGTTAGGGGCCAAAAGGGAAGGTCCCGTTCCCTGGAGGTGCCTCCGGCTTGGTGTATTGTCTTCTGGCAGCCGCAGGTAGGGTCGGCGGAGGGGAGGAGGAGGCAATATGGCGCCTGCCGCGTGGCTCAGGTCTGTGCACAAGGAGGTGCCCCGAGGGATTTGGGAGTCTGGTGCCATGTCCGCTACAGGCTTACCGCTAGCTGGCGGCAGCCGTTTCTGGGCTGGTGTCTGCAGGTCTCTCCACCTGCTGGCAAGCCCACCAGCAGTCCCAAATGCAGGGGAGGGGAAAGGTGATTTATCCACCTACCCTTCCCGCTGGTCTCCGGGCTGCTCCGGCGGTCTCAGCTTCCAGTTCTCCTCTGCAGCCTCCTCCCGTGGAGTCTCCCGGGGTCTCAGATACCCCTCCTTCCGGCCCTCGTCTGCTGTATGCTCGCCTTCTTGCTTCTTTTTTCTAATTTCTGCTAGAATCTGTCTTTTCTGCAGAGACACTCTTTCTGGTGGTGTTTCTCGTCCGCCATCTTGATCTTCCTCCCCAGAAGGGGTATATTTTTGAGTGGCAGCACACATGCAGGGGAGTGAGGACCAGTAGAGGAGGTCTCTTTTCTAATACTTCTATGAACCTCTTTGCCCTTTCTTGGCTGGTTCTGTAATTAAGTCTCTACTGCCAAGAATCTTTTTCCTAAACTCAGTTTTCTATTCAGCAAGCCACTGACAACTAGACCTGAAAAAGTTGGTGACTCTGTTCTTTAGCCCCCAAATTCTTCTCTCCAACTGCAGCTCTTCCCAGGCCCGGCCAGTGCAAATGTAAGGAATAGCTTCCTTGAGCTATTGTTATCTTCAGTACTTACATTTACAGGTGTAGGGGAGGCAAAATTTTACCTCTACTCTCTTAAGGATTTTTGTCAGCCGGGCTTTATGTCTCGACATAATACAAAACAGGAGAAAAACACACAAATGTGTTTAATACAATTTCACATGACACGGTAGCCTTCATAAGGAAGCGAAGACCCAAAGACAAATTAGAGATGAACACTCATAACTGAATTAGACAAACAGTAGTAAATTGTGAAAATGTGATGTGGCAGAGGGGCGTAAGCTAGGGTAGTTGATGGGGTAGAGGAGTGACTAGGAAGATAAGAGTTGGTCTAACAGGGTTTGTTTATACAGATTTCCCTGGGCCTCAATTTCTTGTCCTTGATTATATGAATGATACTTTCTTTCTGGTATAGGGAGAACATTTTTTCACATGGGAATTTCATCTTCTATTTTTAAGAAATGGAAGGAAGGTCAGAGAGCTCTTCTTGCACCTGCAATTTTTCATTTGCCTTTAACTCAAAATAATCAGTATGCCAGAGTGGCAGATTTTGAGGTGGTGTGTTCTGAATTCCTTCACTGGCCAGTTACTATGTGCCATGCCCTGTGCTAAGCCACTCTGTTTGTGTGCCAGACTCCCTAAATTCTATCAACTTCTCTAGGAATTTTCATTCTCTGAGCTTCCTCCTTTGTATTCTAAAATGTTGATTCCTGTCCTTTCCCTCCTTTCCCTGCCCATTACCATCAGCCTATAAACCTTGTATAACACCTTTCATCTTTAAAAAATAAATAAATAAACCTTTCTTGAGCCCCTTCTCAATTTTTTTCTCCATTCTTAGTCCAACTTTTTGGAAGCTTTAACTTCCCTTCCTCATCTCCATCGTGTAACTCAATACATTCTAGAATGTCTTTCTCCTCTAAAACTTCACTCAATTTTATGCTGTTTAAAACTGCCAGCAAACATCATGTTACCTATTCCACTGGCTATTTTTCTCTCATCTCCATTTTCCTTTTGAGATAGGGAACTGGCAAGCCTTGCTTAATAAGGAGTCATAAGACCTGGACCAACCTCTCTGTTAAAACAGGAGGTGGTGGAGAAATCGGCCAAAACCAGTTGGAGCTAAGATGATGATGAAAAATGACCTCAAGTTATTCACACTGCTCATTATACCCTGTTTATAATATATTAGCATGCTAAAAGAAACTCCCACTAATGCCGTGATAGTTTACAAATGCCATGGCAACTCCCAGAAGTTACCCTATATGGTTTAAAAAGAGGACGAACCTTTGGTTTCAGGAAGTCCCCACCTCTTTTTCAGAAATCTTATGAATAATCCTCCTTCCACTGAACATAAAATTAAATAAATTATATAAAATAAGATGTTGGAAAGTCACAAACGGTTATTCTTTGTTGCTGTGAAAAATAGTTGCTGCTATGACAATGGGGCAGCCTCCCTTCTGTTTCTTTGTTACTTCAATAAACTTGCTTTTGCTTTACTCTGTCGACTCACTCTTGAATTCCTTCCTGCCTGAAGCCAAGAACCCATTTGGCCTTCAGGCTGGGACCCAGTTTGGGGACCCACTCTCCTATAACACTTTGGCAACTTTCAATACTGCAGACCCCCCTCATTCTTGGGTTTCTAACACCATGGTGTTCATTAGTCCCTCTTCCCTCTTTGACTGTCCTTGTTAGTTTTTCTTACAGGACCTGCTCCTGTGATTTCCAAATAATGGAATTCCTTAGGACTTAGAACTAAACCATTTTATGGCCTTTCTTCTCCCTAGTGATCCCATCTATTCCTATGGCCTCTGCTGGTAACATTCATATTTACCTTTCTCCAGCCAAGCCCTCTTTCTTCCCTGACCCTTGAAGGTTCTACTTTGTTGCTTCACCAATTTCTCAAATACAGCATGTCCAGAATAGAACTTCTGATTCCCTTCCCCAAACCTATTCCCCCAACACTGGGGTCATCCTTGGTTGTACCTTTTTCTTAAATTCCCACATCAAATGTGTATTAGTTTACCAGAGCTGCCATAACAAAGTACCACACACTGGATGGCTTAAACAACAGAAATTTATTTTCTCATAATTCTGGAGACTAGCAGTCTGAGATTAAGGAGTGAGCCTTGATTTGAGTCTTTTCTTCTTGGCTTACAAAAGGCCATCTTTTCCTTGAGTCTTCCCATGGTCTTCCCTCTGTGAGCGTCTGTCTCCTAATTTCCTCTTCTTATAAGGACACCAGTTATATTAGAGTAAGGACCATTCTATGACCTCATTTTAATTTAATTACTTCTTTAAAGATCCTATCTCCAAATATAGTCACATTCTAAGGTACTGGGATTAAGACTTCAACACATGAATTTTGGGAGGACACAGTTTAGCCTATAACACCAGGAACACACTTCAAGTCATAACACAATTCATTAATAAATTTTGATTATTATAATTTTAAGATGTTTCCTCAATCAATTGCATCCTCCCACTTCTCCTGCTGCCATTGTAAGCCACGATGCCATGAGCTCTTGCCCTAACTACTGCAGCACGCAATTGGCTGGTCTGCTCACTCCAACTCCTGCCCCTCCAATCTGTGCTCCACCAATCTTCAGAGAGATGTTCCAAACATGAATCAGATCAAGTCACTGCTTGTACCCCACCATTACCACCAAGAAGTCTTTGGTAGCTTTTGATTGAAATCAGAATAGCCAAACCCTTAAGGCTTTTATGTGTTTGCCTTTTGAATATTTCTCCCCCCGGTCATCTCATCCCACTACTACCAGCTACAATTGATTTTCTTATTCAGATACATTTAGGCTCTTTTCTTCTACTCTGTGTGATAAGTTTTCTTTTTGTCCTTTAAGATTCAGCTTAAATGTCACTTTTATAAGGAAGGCTTTTGTAAGAGCCTCATAAAGGACAAAACTCCCACCTTATTATTCTCTCATTTTCATGTTTGCTTCATTCATAATACTTATTACTGCTTGCTGCCTGCTTTCTGGCTTTTTTGGCTGCCTTCCTCCACTCCAGGAAGGTTTTCTGATGTATCCCTAGCACCTACCACATTGCATGGCAAATGGCAGGCACTCAATACATACTTCCTGAAAAAATGAATAAATGGCTGGATGTTCTGCTCCACGAGAGCAGAGACCATTTCTGCCTTGTCCATCTATGTCCCCATTGCCTGGCATAAGACAAAAACTCAGTGAATATGTGTCGAATCAATTAACCCATATCTTACAGTGAGGAAATTGAAGCTTAGAGAGTTGAAGCAACTTCCTCCTGGTCAGCCAGCAAAGAGGCAGAGCCAGGATTTATACCCTAATGTTTGACTACTCCAATTCTTGAAATGTTAACTCTGGAAGGGGCCTTAGAGATTGTCTAATCTAATAGCCAGATTTTGCAGATGACAAAAATGAAGCTCAGGATGGTGAAATGACGCACTCCACTCATCTATTTGGGTCTACGTTGTCAGGCCAGTGCTGTGACTTGCTAGGGAGGTAAACTTAGTTAAATTACCTTTTCTGCACTTCATTTTCTCTATCTGTAAAAGGCATTGAGAGGTCTTGATGGCATGATTTAAGCATTCCTGGATTTAAGGATTCCTTCCAGCTTAGAATTTTTATGATTCTTCTTGAGTTTTCCCTTCACCATTTCTCTCTCATTTTAAGAGAGAAAATTAAGTTACATTGCATATGCTTTGTTCTTTACTCCCATGAAACCATTAGGAAAACAATAAGTAAAAAATAAAAAATTGTAAAGTTTCCCAATCTTTATGTACCTTAGGAAGAATAAGACTTCTTGCCTTAAAGACCCCTAAAGGAAAGATAAAAGTTATATCTCTAGGTCCTAGCTATAGTTGAGAAAAGTGTGTATATAATAGTCATTCAGAAGAAATATCATTATCAATTCTTGTAATGAGGCAATAAATTGGAAAAGAAAAGGGTAAAATAATGTTCATAGCAATGACTGAATATAAAATTCCTTGGTGTGTATGCAGGAAAATGAATAATACACATTTCTGTGATTTTCATTTTATTTTTACTGCCGGTGAAGAGTGACTTATATTGCAAGAAGACACACCATTCTTATTTACACTCAAAATGTCAAATCCCATTTGTACTCAAAATGCCATCACCTTGTATAACTCTACCAACTTAACCTGCACAGAAAAGGAAAGTTACAGGTAGAATATAAGGAGACCTGGAGTATTAAATCCAGTCTCTTTTCTCTGCAGCCTTGATCAAACACCCTGATCTGCTGCAACCATTCCAAGATGGAAGTGTTTTGAATTCTAAAATAGCTTAGCACCAAATGTGTCATAATTAATCTGAAACTATATTTAGAATGATGAAATTTGCCATGAAATCTGAAATATGCTTCAAATGTCAGTCTTATTTTTAATTAATATGCCAATCCACCTTTGCAATAATCAAGTTTTAAAGTCTCCCAGTGCTGAATAACTTGGATGCTGTTTTTGTGTGTGTGTGTGTGTGTGTGTGTGTGTGTGTGTGTGTGTGTGGTTTTTTTAACCTCACAATTATGATAATGTAGTTCTCCCACAGATCTTTCCTTCTCCCACAGATTGTCAAAGGAAATCTGATTTCATCCCAGTGGCATATTTTGTCTATAAAACCAAATGATGTATTAATAAAATGAAATGTCTTGTCATACTGGCCACAAGTTAACAAAATCATTTTCATACCATCACATCTACCATTCTTACGCTCTGATATTTATTGTAAGAGAGCAATATATTATTGTGCTTTAGTCAATTTGTTTCTTTTTATTTAAATTCTAGGGAAGTGGAAATGGAAGCTCCAGATTCAAAAGAAGTGTGTCTTTTATTTTTTAAAGTGGGTGTGGAGTTTTAAAACACTGATCAAACATAAAATGTGTCACTCATCTTATACTCCTTTTTAGGTATGTTCTGTGTTTTCCATTGAATTTTTGACTAATATTAAATAGTTGATAGAAAAAATTTTAAACAGTCACAGAAAACCCCCAATTTTAAGAATCCTGTCACCTCAAATTGCACTGTGTGAGCAGAAAGCTGATCTCAGGATATTGACTTTCTTGTCTTTACAGACTCATTTGGTAAGAAAGAGAGACAACAATTTGCTGGAAGCACACACGTATGTGCTAACTGAACTAGTGTCTTGGGACTTCTTCTGCCATGGCAAATAATAACATAATCAGTTGTGGATCCAGTAAAAAGAAAAAGAAAAGTACAAAACTGAGAGTGGTTAGAAACTTTTTGAGAAACTTGATACGGTAATTTTATGTTTGTTTCCCCTAATAAAAACTTAGGCTTATATTTTGTATATTTTTGTTTATTTCATTTTACTAGTAATTCATTTAATTGTATTTTTTTTTTAAGAAAAGTATTCCTCCACAGATTGGAAATTTGAAAACTGATCCTTCCCCAGGGTGGGTTGGAAAAATCACTGTGGTAGACAATTCTTTTAGCTTATTTGTTACAAAGAACCATATCACTAGACATAGATGTTATAAACAAATCCACAAAGTTGTTAGTATAGGTGAAAAGCAGCTGGTATATTTTGTTGGGTCAATGCTAGTCCCTTGATTCTTGCTCAACTGGCCTGAAATGAATCATGCAAACTTTGGCCTCAAGTTCCCTGAGGCATGATGGCATTGCCAAGAATGGAAACTCTACACAATCATTTTATAACAATTTTCAAGATTATAGACTAGAGGCATCTTTCTTCTCTGGCCATGGTGTGGACTTCAGCTTTCCCTTTTGATCCTGCTGAATATCTGTCCACCCTTTCTTATATTAAGAAGAAATATTACAATCTTTCTTTTAAAAGTGTTTAAAAGCACCACATTAAGGAGTTTATGCTTACACATTTATTGATTGAAGAAATATTCAATGCATATATCTTATATGTGGCAGATAGTACACTAGGTGTGCAAACCTTGCCCTCATAGAGCTTGCAGTCTAATGGAGAGGATAAATACTAACCAGGCAACTACATAAATAAATATAAGATTACAACTGTGATTGATGGCATGCAAGAAAGGAAAATAGTACTGTGAAATTTTATAGCAGGGAATCTGATCTAGTTTAAGGGGCTGGAGAAGACTTGCTGAGAGGATGCCTTACTTAGCTGGGATCCAAGGATGACCAGGAGGGAAGCAGTGAAGAACAGAAACCACAAGGGCGTTTGGCCTAGGTCCAGCTATTTGCCACACAAAGAGCCAATTATGGAGACAAATGAGGATTGCCAAGGAAGAAAGGAATTTTTTTTTTAACACAGAAGATGCCTGTCGAGAGAACAGGGAATCAGCCTCCAATTTGTCTTTCTAAACTAATGGAGAGTATGGGCTATTTAAGTAGGGGCTATGAGCATTGGATCACATGGTGATGTAAAGAAGAATGGGCTACATGCATTGGGGCAGGTTTAGAGGAAGGTGAGGCAGGAAGGCTGCCCAGGGGCTCTTCAGAATTTCAGCTTCTTGTCTTGTAGAAATTCGGCCATTTCTGGGAAACAACTTAGAAAGGTTGAGTAGTTAGTTAAAACTTCTAGGGTTCTGGTCATCATGCCCTACTGACCTGAGAATCTAAAACATGAGAGGGAGAGGATTATAAAAAACATATAGAGGTCGTTGAAATTTGTTGGGAGGGCCAGTTACAGTAGCAGGCAGAGTGGTTCAGTCAGAGGAAAATGAATTTACTTGTTCCTGCTATATCTAAGCCTGTTTTATTTTTGTGTGTGTGTTCACATCTTGACAGAAAATTTTGGCCTCCCATAATTATATTTTAACCATTGAAATCTTGCTTTTAGATTCTACAAATCTCCCTCAATAAAAATCCCCTGAACTTTTCTGACATTTTCCCTTTCAAAACCCATGCCAGCTCTAAAACTCTCCTATCTTCTGGCAATGCTACCCAAGCAAGCATAGACATGACTAGGGTGGTCCTTCCATGCAGCTTCTAAGAGTCATGTTCCTCAAATCCTTTTTGTCCTGGCTTTTGGTCACTGCCACTCAAATCCCCTCCAAGAAGATTTTTAACACACAATGAATTTTAGCTTGGCAGTTCCGATCTCCCCAGCTCTTGTGCCATATGGCCTTAATGGGCTCATCCCTCAATACCGTGGTGGACCATATGAGCAGGCTTGGCTAGCCTAATCCACTCTGATGGGCTTGTATGAGAACCAACAAAACAGATGAATTTTTTAAATATAGTGTAAAAGTGAATGAGAGATGGAGAGAAACAATTTTCAATTATGTTATTTTAATCCTCAATACAGACTTCCTTGAAGCCAGTTGTATCCCTGGACTTTTTCATTAAATGGGGCAATGAATCTTCCTCTTTTTTTCTTAGTGAGTTTTTGTATTGGGCTTTCTTTCATCTGCAAACCAGAGTTGTCCTAACTGAGATATATATCTCAGTCAGTTAGGACTGTGGTATATATATATATATTCATTCTGTATCAATTGTCTGTCCATATACATTGAACCCAAGTTGTGTGATAGAACACTGACCAAAAATCCCAAAGTATCCAACAGAAAGCAGGATTATCACACTTCAGGAGCAGTGAAGTGTCAGTTCCCAACCAAAGGCCCCCAGGAATACACCTGTGGTTGATCAAGTTAGGGGGATTATTAGGGAAGGAGAAGATACATCATGGTGTGGTGTCTCAATAAAAGGGTGTTAGGAAGGACTTATGGTCACTTGAGGAAGGACCAAAGAATCAGCAGATCTCTCTGGGTTGAAGGCTGTTAGAAAGCAGCAAGAATTCTATGACTGGCTATCTCAATAACTCTTTTCTATAGAAACAGAAGACTGGGGAAAAGATAAAGTTATCATTGGTAAAGAATCAGGAGTCACCCATATTAGCCAAGAAAATGGAATGTTTGGTATTTCATGGGCTGCACAGGAATCTTTTTTCTCAGTGCTTGGATAACATTAGGAAGTAGTCCTGAGTTTTCTTATTTTATTTTAATATCACAGGCTAAGAGTGGTCTTGTCTGATGTTGGCATCCTATGAGAATGTTTATGTCCAACAAGAGAACAACAAGGCCTAGCTGTGGGGGCCAGTCTGGCTTCTAACAACACTGGCTGTAAGCCTCAGACTAGTTCCTGGATGTCAGGGCTGCTTTTTAATTTTTCAGAAGCTAAAAGATGCAGAATCACATTGAGAGGGGTCCAGACCCTGTCAGGTTGAACTTGGCATTGCTGGTCCCAGCAGCCACTCCAAGTACAGGCAATATAAAAAGTCACCTTCCTCATTTTGTTCGATGGGTGCTAAGAAGGTTTTTGTAAAACTCCATATTTTTTCTGCACCTAAATCATAATGCCAGGAATCCTTTTAATAGGGATCAAAGTTTCTCACTTTTTAATGAAAGAAATGTCATAAAATTCAAATTCTCCTAGGAAAGGCAACACATTATTGACTCTCCGCTCTCCCAATAAAGAAATGGTGTCCCACAAGACAGTATTTTGATGTTTACCTTAAAAGGACTTCTGAAGAACTTTCATTCCTTACTCAGCACAGCATTCATGGAGGAATCCCAAATTCTTCTTTCTCACAGAGCAGGTGACCTAATTCCCCTAATGACCTTTCTGGAGGTAAAACACAAAAAGGAAGGGAAATCTTGGATCCAGATGAGCTTACCTGGGAACCAGGAGGATGAGCTTCTGCCTCAAGGAAGTAGTTTTGGGATTTGTGACCCATACTGCAGACCTGGCAGGAAAGGCTTCTCCCACAACGTTTAGGAACCTGTACAAGCTACTGATGTGGAGATGACAAATTTACCTCTTTCATCTCCACTGGACATCCCCATATCTTTCCCTCCCGCTATAGAACACATCATCCTGCTCTAGTAATTTCTCTTCCACATAGTCCTTTGCCCTCGATGATAACATCAGCCAGACACAGGGGAAGGAATTAGAATAATTTGATCTCTCTCAGAAAGTTCTACCTGTCTCCTGCCATCTCTCCTTTTTTTTTTCCCTTCTGCTCCTGAGACCTGTGGACTCTTCTTAGCCACATTTCTTCCCACTTGCTAGGAAAGACTAGGGTTGGAAAACTCCAGTGTGATTTGTTTCTTGTCTTTGAACTTTCTTTCTAATTAGCCTCCCCAAACTGGAATGTGAATAATTCATTCCTTCATTTATTCATCCAATACCAAACATGTGTGGAAAGCCTACTGGCAGCTAGGCACTCAGCTACTGAGATTGGCATTAGATATTTTGTTGATAAATAAAAGAAACAGAAAAAAAAGCACAAGAGCCCAGGACATGAGAGGGGGTGGACAGAGGGGTCTCATGGAGGGAGACAAAAGGCAAAGCAAGGACAGGCGTCTTTCATCACATGGCTAATCATGTCCAGGTCCACTGTGAGCCAATTAACGCAAAGCTTTATGGGAAAAGACTTAACATGTGACCCACAGAAGATTCTGCTTCAACCACTTTCTGATGACTTGGAGAATTTCAACATTCTCATTTGAGAGTACAATGCAGTTACCATGCTACTGTGGAAATAAAAACTAAACACTAAAAAAAAAAAAAAAAATGTAGCTCTAAAATAGTGTGGTCCAAGAAATCACTGAGGTTTGGAATGAGATATGTTTGTTGTAGGATAAGAATAGGTATGCTAATCTCATGCAATTTTATCCTTTGGGTTTCTCTGGCATTTATAAGTGAAGTGATCTTATTTTCAATAACCTTAATAAAATTTGAGTTGGAGAGAAGCATAAAAAAATCCATATTTCATCCCAGGTCAATGTTCTGCTCTGTCTATTCTAATTTTTAAGGCAATGTGAAAAGAGTTTCAAAAAGTAAAACAAAGAAACTCTCTGCTAATGCCGAAAACCGATGTGCAGTGGGGTATGTATTTTAAAGCCCAAGAACTTCCAACGTGAGTGAGATTTTTGTGGCTTGCCCTCAGGTGAGAAAAGGGTCATGATAAAAATTGTTTTAAGTCATTCTCAAAATTGTGCTATATTTAGAAAGAAGAAAATGAAATTCACACTATAAATTTTTGGGGACTCAGTGGGTATGTTACCATGTGTGTGCTTTTTTAAGTTTATATTCTTTATTTTTAGAGAAAATTATAGCATTTTTAGGTATCTGAGAGAAACCACAGAGAGCTACAGTAAGTCATACCCAGCTATGTAAATCAGTTTCAATCTGCCTTTTGCATATATCTGCCACATTTTAGTCTGCCCATGTTTCTGCAGTTCTTCTACTACTGAAGAAAACTCCCCCTGGTATCGTACACAATGTCCATAGG